TCCCCCCCCCCCCCCCCACTACTTTTCAGACCTGGATATGCTGTTTGTTTGCGTGATATTTTGGGATAAGTACCGTAACTTCACTTATGTTACGCTCACACTATACCTTTAATCCTACTATAGAAGTAAAAAATAACAAACATCATAGCTTCATATCAGTTTCTTAGAGGTAAGGGGAACTCGTCTTATGATTAATCCACTTATCAAATGTTTTGGTTTCTGAGCTATATTTGCTGAAACCAATGATATCGATGCTGGTCAATCTTTGCTCAAAAGTACGTGACAAAAACAGGCGGAAAATTTTTAGCTATCGCGCGTCAAAATCGTCAATCTTATGACATTTTAGCCACAAAGTTACAGAGCCTCCCGTCTTTCCACTCTGGCCATTTTCTACGACTCTAATCTTCGAGTGAGACACGACATAATTTAGCCATTTGCTTATGGTTCCTATGTTGTTTTGAAGTATGAGTTGTTGACAGGTGTGCGGAGAGCTGTGGATATAACACTCCCGGAAAAAATTGAAAAAGCTAAGGAAGAAATTCCTCCCTTTTCGGCCACCGTCGGAGTTAGACGCGCCCACAACATTAAGCAGCACGCCTGTGACACGCAAGATGACACGATCGTGGCCGGTGTATTTAAGGAAAGTAATGGATTAGTTGGGCAATTCGGTCTCTAAGACGGACACGAAGGAAAACCGCGAGGAAAAGTAATGTCTCAAAAGTTTACACAAGGCATCGTGGTCCTTCTTTTGGGGCTTATGCGCTTAAGTTTACAGCAAGAGTATGCGGGATACAGTAAGTACAAAAACTCCGATTAGCTTGTATTTTTAAACTTCGGTTATGTTCGTAATGGTTTATGCCTGAAATAGAAAGATTTGTGGAGGTTAAACGCAATTGCTTTGGTTGGCAGTCAGGAAACAACCAAAATTAAAGCCTAGTTTCATCCCTGACAGACCAAAATTAGAACCAGCACAGGTTTGAGTTTATTTCCTTCCGTGACATTGAAAGATTTTTATTACTGTTATCCAAGCTTGAACGTTTCCCTAGCATGTATGACTCAAATAAACACGAAGTCTCACACCTTGGAGCTATATGCTATGGAATTTTTAAAGACCGAGACAGACCTCCAATAATTCAGTTATCTATATATCAGTTGATTACTTTTGTTAAGCAAGGCATGCTTTTGTTGAATATGCTACTTTGTAAAGAAAATGACCTTTCGTTCCAAATTCTTTACTACTTAGGGACATCTTAAAATCCTCCAATCCAAAGTAATTAAGCAGGAAATATAACGGGTGCGGTAGGTTCTAGACAATCATCTAAAGCTAAAACGATGAAGTCCAGACGTATATTTACAGTTGATTCATTTCTGTGCTTGGTCCTTTTCCAACCAAGGACAGTAATGGATCGACTCCAACAAGCATTTCTCTGAGGATTACATCGTGCGCACTGCCTTAGACTGAGCCAGTTGAAGAAGACTTACAGTCGACTGTTCTTCAGTCGACCGACGACTGGATGTTGAGGATGATGATATCTATCTTCTTTTTCAATAACTAAATTATAACAGTGAGCGAATTTTCAAAATAGTTTTCTTTAAGTTTTGAAAAACAAATAGATAAACAAATAAATAAACAGCATCATAGAAAATATATATGTTACCACGATTGAAACCATGATTTATTGTAGAATTTCTTTCCCAGAACACAACATGCAGGACCAAAACTTGTCATTTATAAAGTAATTTCCGTTTAAAGTGGAGCAATATTACAGAAGACTCAGGAGTCAAAGGGTTAAAGGAAAAAAAACAGCTGATCCGTTGTAAAAACACACTTATTCAAGTCATCTGCAGGAAACCAAAATATTCAGTTTAATAGTTACAAAAAGTATCACATTGTTTGTCACATTTTTTTGCGTTGATTTCCATGTTTTTAATTAGCAAACGGTTTCCTCTTGCGGTGAAATTTATTCGGCGTTTTTTCCGGCGCATAGGTCGGAACTTGACAGACAGGCAAGTACGTGGGTTTTCCCGAAAAGTTGATTGCTTTAGGGTCGGTGTTAAGATCGATGAACGTGACATTGTGAAGCTTTCACTCTTGAGATTTTTCAATGTTCTTACAGACTTCCTAGGAAACCAATAATTACAACTGAAAGTGAACATGAAATTTAATTTCTACATAGCCCAAATTGCCCGGGGTGGGTACTTCTGAGAATTCTTGGTGGGGATGTGCCGTCCGGTTCTTCAAATCCTGATCCTATTTCTGACCAAAAAATGTTATTTTCAACACCCGTTTTCAGACCAGACCTCTAAAATCCAAACCCGTTTTCAGACCTGGCCTGTAGGCAGAAATTATGTAATCATTAGTTAGATTAGAGCGCAAACGAAAAAACTCTACAAATCCACTTAGAATTCGCATATTTCTCTTTCTTTCTTACTCATTTGGAATTGAAACGATAAATACGTTCATACACTCGCGTAGATCCCTCGAAAACCACACCCGATTCCAGACCAACATGGGCAAAAGCTATACCCGTTTTAAGACCAAAAAGCCGCAAAAACCCCAGCCGATGGGGCGGTACATACCTATATAGCTTATATAAGGGAGTACACCCCTCCCCCCCGGGCCAAGTTGCAGCCTAAACCCCTATCCTAAGTTCACATGCGACCTGATACAAATACTACTTACTGAAGATCTCACGCATTTGCGGTTGGGTCCGTATGTCTTGCAAGGAAAATAAATCAAACCGAAGTCGGCTTGTACAAAGATGTTCCAAACTTACAACAACCACTTTTTGCAAAGATTTGTTCTTAAAAAAACAGAAATTTGTCATGATGAATTAGCAACCTTTTTTACCGAATGCAGCCTTGAATGTCTTGAACAACAAACATTTCTTGAATTCTGAAATTCTGAAGGTGTTTTGAAGGCTTTAACGTACGAGACAGTTCTTACAACTCGGAAATAACTTTGGTATAAAGTGTGGACAGTTCTTTCATCTTTGCCTCCCTAAAAACAGCGTGAACTTGGGCTTTGAGACAGGCGCAGGATGTCCTTTCGACAGGTGCTTAATTTCGTTGAATTGTACAAAGGATGTTTTGATTTCTTCTTATAGACCAGTAATCCTTTCATTCCCTAGAGCTGGTGCCCAAAAATAAGTTTACAAAGATTTCGTTTGGTAAAATACTGAAAAACTTACAACGGTTAAAACCTGTTTGGCAGCGTGACAAATACTAGTAGTTCATGACAAGAGAGAATGATCTCTCTTGTTCATGGTAAGACGATACGAGTGAAACTATTCGTCAAGATGTTTCATTTTAATGGTCACACCGTTTCATTAGCAAACTCAATTTTAGCACCTTTTTATGCAGCTGTAGTAAATAGTGCCATACAAAAATGCTTAACAGGTTTCATTGACTTATGAGGTACACCCATGTTATACTGCATGATAAATAAGAGTTAAATAAGCCGTACCAGGTGAAAGTACTGCTGAAGAGGTTTCCATTGATTGGTCATAACTAGAATTCTTTCCACAAACTTGTGGGGGTATGTTCGAGCAACTCGCTCGCTAC